CACACACATATCAGAAGATGCTCATTTCTGAACAGACACACATCACTGGGAAACAGGCGCTGGCTGGGGACGGCCTTTCACACTCTCACACTCAGGGCTGTCCGTGGCTGGCTGAGAAGACAATCTGTCTTCTGGCCCTGGAAGTTCTCCCTTGGGCAAGAAGGTGATTCAGCACCACCCGGGGAAACAGCACCCCTGCCTGTTGGCAGGATCTTCAGGGAAACCCTCCAGAGGATGCTCTTTGGGTCCCCTTAGAACTTGGACCCCAAGCAAGCGCTTTCCGCACGCCCTCCCGGGAGGTTGAGAAAGCACATTCTGCAGGCTGGGGAGGCCTGGTCTGAGCACGGATGTCCAGGAAAGCCTCCGAGGAAGTGGTCGTATGCCTGCCCTTGCAAACTCAGAGCTGAGTAGACGAGCTCACCGAACAGGGCTAACACCACTTCCGTGTTTCCTCTCAAAGATTGACAAGGCCAGATGGGGCTGCGGAGCCGGGCCCCAAATCCCAAGGCCCTCTTTTCAGATCCTTCACCTCTTTAGGAATCTCCCTCCTCCCTCTGAACAAACATGCCATGTCTGCCTCCCCTCAACTGGAGCATATGATGCAGCTAATACTGTGTGTGAGGCACAAGGCGAGAACCCCACAAAACAGTGGGTGAAGTTTCCGTTAGCACAAGACAGGCGCTTCAACGTTTTATAAAGGAAAAGGTAGCTCACCCCTTTCCATGTTCCACACATTTTTGATGTAAGCACCTTGCTGAGGTTTTAATAGTTAAACATGCTAAGGATCGACTTTTTGTTTTTCCTTGGGTCTCCTTCGATTCTTGCCTTGCTCTTGAAGACTTTAGTCAGTAGTGCCTTCTGGGTGTGATGAGCATTTCCCTATTTGGGCTGTCCCAGACGTAGCCACTAGTCACGTGTGGCTGCTCACTCAGGACTGTGAGACTGAATTCTTGATTTTAGTTTTAGTCCGTTTTTATGAAAGTCACAATACCTCTGGCAGGAGTCAACAGAACTTTGGGTTCTCAGCTCTAAATGCAAATGGAATCTTGGAGCTGCTCTGACGCCTGCTGCCTTACTCAGTGATGCTCCGCCAGCCTGCCACTTCCGAGTGCTTGCTCAGTGCCTGAGCACAGCGGGCTTGCTGTCCCAGGAGAAGCAGGAAGCATGTCGCCAGAGAGGAAGCTCACGCACTCAACCACTTTGGACGCTAGAGCATGGGGGGTGGGGGGGTGAGCGGGCAGGCTCCATTTATTTATATCACAGAGTGTTACAGTTGTCGGCTCTGCAGCTGAGAAACTGCTAGGGACAGGGACAGAAATTGGCTTTGTCCATGTTCCCTGGCACCTACTTCTGTTGTTCAAAGGATGCCAGAAGAGTCAGGGTTGGGGAGGGTGGGGACAGGAGAGTTCTGAGTGTGCAGACGCTCTCTGGGTGTCGTTAGAAAGAACGAAGTTCACTCCCTTTCATGTCTGCATCAAAACTGATACAAATGTCATCGGGTTATCCTGGTCCATCCACAACAGGGACAGTTCATGTCCAAGGCATGGTGACAAGGGTCTATCAGACAAGTGCTTTGAACAAAGCTGTGTCTGGCTGAGTCCTGAGTGGGATGTGGTTACAGGGGCCAGACTCAACACAGGGGTTCCGAAAGGCAAAGTCACCCTTGTTCTTTCCACAGACACCGACCTCCCCCAAGAAGAAACAGATTGGGTTCATAAACAGGGCAGTTACAGACCCAAGGGCTGACAGCTTCACCGTGGAGTCTCTTGGTGTGCTCTGCGATACACGCCCACGTGGGGGCCTCGTAAAACATGCTGCACAGCAGGCTTAGGCCCGGCTTGCCACCACTGGGAGACGTTCAACCTTTATAGGGTTAGGTCTGTGACAATCACAGGGGTCTACTCTTAAAGAGGTCCAGCCCCTGCCTCCTTCTCTATTTTTGCCCCTTCATGTACTTCGACCATGGTGCACTCCCCCACCACAGAGCTAAAAGCAGCAGGACCAACAGCCGTGGATGTGAGCCAAAAAGAACCTTTTCTCTCTGTAAGTTTACTATCCTGGACATTTTGTTACAGTAACAGACACTGGCCAGCACAACCCAGGACAGCTCAGTTCTGCCACTTGGTGTCTGGGCTCTCCCTGTTCTTTCTAGCACATTCTCTGCCCTGTGTCCAACACATCCTTTCACCTGTAAAACAAGGAACTCATTGGCATGAAACAAATGTTTCAAATCACATAATGGCTAAGAAGATAAAGAAGGATTCATCCAGAAGAGGGACGGAAGGTACAATGTTACTACTTTACACTAGTCATCTACATAGATTTCCACGTCATTTCTCCTGCAGAACCCCCTTCTCTTCCTCACCTTTTCACTGTGAACTTTCTAAGGTACTCTCTGCAATTTTCTCCTCTCTCCCACTGCACCAGAGCAGCCTTTGGCTAATCAGCTACCAAACTCTAGGACTTGAATGCCCTGTGAGTTTCCCGTTCCACAGGAACTTTTGTAATACAATACAGAATACTGTAGAACTGTCATCCTTGCTGACCCAGGAGTTCTGATTCCAGGAATTGATTGGAAGGAAATAATTAAGAATGCCCATAGTGTTTTGTTGTGAGAATGCTTACATACGTTATTACAGTGATAAACAACTGGAAACGATCTGGTAAGTCAAGAGGACAAGGGGCCCAGGGACTGCCTGATACTGAGAAACTTACAGTCTCTAAGTCAATCAACCAACCCCAGAGTTGAAAGTTAAGGCATGATTTAGGGTAGATGCATATTTCACAAGACTGGAATCGTACAGATTTACAGTGACTAGCTTTAAGATTATTCTAAAATTAGAGGAATAAAAGTAAACACAGGGTTGCCATAGAGGCTTGTGTAAGCTTTGTCTGAAGTTCCACTAACCTTAAGCAGGTCTAGCTCTAGAGAAAGGGAGGAGAAAGGAGATAGAAGTTTCTCCTGCTTCTAAGTCCACATGCCTCTGAGCAGGGAGCAGCATCAGAAGAAGCCATACTTAAGAGCCAAGACAGAAATGTTAGGGAGATGAAGGAACAAGAGAAAAATTCAGGGGAAAAGATTTTTTTAAGCAGCAAGAGAAATCAAGAAAAAAAAAACAAAAAAAAAAAACAAGGCACTGTGACGAGAGGGCAATTATCTTCAAAGAGATTTTTACAGTAAAATCCAGAGCCCCTGAAAGACTGAGAGACCAGCGCTCCAGTGTAGGGAGTGGCTGGGCAGGAGAGGACACTTTTGAGATCAGCAGGCCAGCTGCTTGTCCCAGCAGAGATGCCTGACCCTCTCCTGACAAGGTCAAGCCCCAGCATCCCCACCCTACAATGCAGCCTGGGTGCTGAGCATCAAGCCGTGCATCTTTCCCTGTGAAATCTCTTCACAACCTCTTTCAAAATCAAAGCAAGCTGGACACCTCGTCTCTGGAGGGTCTGCTCCTATCTGGTTGTTCCAGCTGGAGAGGCTGTGACCTGTGGGCCATCCAAATCCAGGTGACAGGAGCCTGGTCCCTCTCCCTGGAACCATGGGATTGCTGCAGGGCACAGTCCAGCCCAAGCTTGCAGTTCCCACAGAAGCTCTGGCTCCCGCAGCCACCGGCCCTTTCCTTAGCAGCCCCCTACCCAGAACAGCCCTTCCATATTTGACGGCTCCTCCCATATGCTCAGTGCCAAGGCCACACTGTGTGGGGTTCTGGGGTGTATTCTACAAACTGTTTCTATCCACTCATAATCTGTACCAAACCCAAGCCCACTGCGAGCCTGCCGAACATAGGAAAATGTTCTGCCCACTGTTTGAAAAGGAAGGGTTTGGCAAATGCAGGAAGCAGTGGAGGCTGGTAGCTCTGTGACTGGAATCAATGCCAGGAAGGGATGGAGATGAGAACGACACACCAGGACTTTGAAAACCGGGTCTCATGGAGGCTGCTCTCCTAACTTCACGATTGCTAATAAGGCCGGTCACAGAGTTTCCTTTCTGCAGGGTTCTGGAGGATCCCCGTCCAGGAACCCTCGTTACCCTCAGCCCCTGTCCAGTTCTGAGCAGACTCCCAGTATATCACATGCCTAGAGCACACATAGTACTAATCTCCGTCTCCCAGCCTGCTCCCTCTAAGGATGCTCACTCACACTGGATAATGCCATCAACTTGAACTAGCTGTCACCTGGGCCCACAGTAACATACCTAAAACGAGGTTGGGAAGCTAATGACAACCCAACTCTAACTGCCATGAAAAGGTGGGCGTGGTGCGACTGCTTCATTCCAAGGGAGTGGGCTAGGAGGGTACCCATCTTCGCTAAGCACTCCTGCTGTGGGGTCAGTTGACTTCGCTAACAATGCTTAATGAAGGAGAGACTTTTATTCTTTTCTGCGGGCCCACCCATCTCGTCTGTCAGCAAATGGACCCCTTGATCCAAACAAAACTTCATCCTCTTAAGCCCCATCTCTAGATTGGTGTGGCACGTGGGAGATGAGCTTCAGGCTGCCCACCAGCCACACAGTCTGTTCCTTGGGGGAGGGGGACTCCCTGCCTTCCTTCCATGCATCCCAGATTCTCTCAGGACTTTGTGGGGGGCCCGTGGGTACCTCTCTTGAAGATCCCCATGTCCCCAGGACCCACTCCCACCACATCCCCATGTTTCCTGCATGCAGATGCCCTAGGAGGGATATGAAGTGGTCCCCAAGAGCAGCCTGGCCTCCTGGGGGCTCTTTGGGGACCCAGGGCAGTTGGCCAGCTCGGGGGGGCCCCTCGAGGGCATACAGCACAAGGAACTTTGCTGTGTTGAGAGCGAAGCTGCGCTTGATAGCCTCGGGAGGGCAGGGACCCCAGAGACTCCCCTGGCCTCCCGGAGCAGGCCAGGATGTCAGCGTGGCCGCCAGACATTTAAATCGGCCCCACGGGAGGCGGCGTGGAAGAGGCCGGAAAGGCAGCGGCCGACTTGGTGGACGGCGGGGGTGGCCGCCGGGGTCGAGGAGCCGCGGAGACACTCACCAGCGCGTGTTGTCGTGGAAGTGCTCCAGCACCGCGTAGCCGAAGAAGGAGCCCGCCGGGCCCTGGAAGCGCACCGGGCGCTGCGCGTCGAG